CCCGAACATCACCATAGTACTAGCCCAGCAACAAAGCTGCTGCCTCTTTCACAGCCACACTGGGCCAGTCAGGAGGCTGCACTGCTGAGTTCAAGAACACAGCACAGCAGGTGAGACCCAGGGATCAAGAGGTCTCCGCCACTGCCCCTGTAACGGTCTGTCTCGCGTCTCCTACTGCCCCAGTGACTCCACACTGGGACACTGTTAGAGGAAAATTCAGCTCCTCCACAACCATCCTGCCCGTAGTAACAGACAAGGCAACAAGAAATGGTCCCTGCCCACTCCTGCCATCCAGACCCCACAAAAGCGTACCTAACTGGCAGAACCTAACTCCCTGTCAGTACCCTTGCTGCAAGGAAGTCTGAGAAATACAGTTTTTCACTTTCCAACACAATTCACCCAGACAAGGGAGGATCTCCTTATACAGCAGCCCAAATCAGTGAAGCTAAAGATTTACTAGAAGGTCAAGCTAAAAAATAAAAAATAAAGTAAATGTACGAAGAATTTTAAGTTCTTGTTAGTTATGTATATGAGAACCAGCTTTTTATAATAAAATGTCCCAAAGCTGCACATTTTAAAAATGACTTAGCACAAACTAAGTCCAAGTCTTGGTATACATTTCTGGTTTAAATTACGAGGATTTTAAATCAAATTATAGAATATTTTTAGGTTAATGCTCAATTATGGATACATACCATTGAAATAGAAATATTATTCATTACTCGTTTAGTAAATAATTTGGTACTTACGTCAAGGCAAAGTCACTGCTCTGAACCCCAATCTGATGAGACCCATAAACTCGTAATTAAAATACAATGTGATACATATTATGATGGAATTAGTACAGATTGTTACAGCAGACTTATCTCTTTGGGAGGAAAGACTGTCAAGGTATAGACAGCTGGATCAGCTGCTTGGAACTGTGAATTTAAAAGCGAGTTTAGCCACAACTTTGACCTAAAAAGTTGATGATGCTATGTATCATATCATTGACAGAATTCAGATTTCATACATTAAAAACTTGATTTTTAAAAAAGGTGAGAAGGTGCTTCAAGACCCCAAGGAGATGCTCAGCAGTCACTGAAGCTGCAGAAGAAAATGACAAACTTTCTGCCTAAAGTGAGTACAGGAACTTAGTGGTTGGTAGAGGGGACAAAGAGGAACTGGAGAAGGAAGCAGAAAGAATGGCACCAAGCAACATGGCAGAACCCTGTAAGCCACGCTGCAGAAATGGACTTGAGCAATGAGGGGGTAGGAGAATGTGACATTCTAATGTTCCTTTTGTGGCACAGAAATTCTTTTGTCTCCCCAGAAAAGTCTTTTGCACACTCAAATGCTTGAGGTACTACATTCTTTGTCAAAAATGAAAGAGAAGCCCTGGCCAGGTGGCTCAGTTGGTTGGAGCATCATCCTGTTCACCAAAAGATTGTGGGTTGGAGCCCAGGTCAGGGACATACCTAGGTTGCAGGTTCAATCCCTAGTCGGGGTGCATACGGGAGGCAACTGATCAATGTTTTCTCACATTGTTGTTTCTCTCTCTCTCTCTCTTTCTCTTTCTCCCCTTCCTCTCTCTCTAAAAATAAATAAAATTAAAGAGAAGGGGAGGGGCAGGGAACCCAGGAGAAGGATGGGGATAATAGGTAGTTAGGGCCTTTGGTTGCAAACAACAAACAGGGACTCCAGCTGGTTTGGACAAAAAGGGAATGTATGATGTCCTGGCCCTTATTCCCTTAGTCCACCTCTGAGGTCACTATAAGCAGGCAGATTCATCCTCTGGGTCCCCAGACACTTGCTCAGTTGGAGTACAGTCAGCCCAGAAATAGCAGGGTTATCATCAGGCAACCAATGAGGGACAGGGGTCAGTGAATCAACGCCCCGCCCCTTATCCTCTGGCCCTCAGAGGGACAATGCTGACACATGATGCCTGATGTTTCCTCTCAGAGCACCCAGGTGTGAGCCCCGTTTGCCCGTTTGCCCGCCAAGTTAACCTGCCCGTCAGTGTGCCCTCTATGGTCACTTCTCCCTTCCCCAGTCCTTCCTGGGATCACCTCCTACAGCAGATGTGTCTTCTAAGACGGTCACAATACTTCCCACCCACAAGCTCTTTTAGCATTTTGCTACTCTACCATTAAGAAATGGAGTCTTGCCCTAGCTGGTTTGGCTCAGTGGATAGAGCGTCAACCTGTGGACAGAGGGTTCCCTGGTTGGATTCCAGTCAAGGGCACATGCCCGGGTTTCAGGCTCAATCCCCAGTGGGGGGGCGTGCAGGAGGAAGCCAATCAATGATTCTCTCTCATCATTGATGTTTCTATCTCTCCCTCTCCTTTCCTCTCTGAAATCAATAAAAATATATTAAAAACAACAACAACACCTGGTTTGAAGAAAGGAAAGAAAGAAAGAAAGAAAGAAAGAAAGAAAGAAAAGAAAGAAAGAAAAAAAGAAAGAAAGAAAGAAAGAAAGAGAGTCTTTGTTCCTTCCCCTTGAGCCTGGCTCATCTCCTGCAAATAGAATGCTGCAAAAATGATTCTATATGACTTCCAAGACTAGACTAGAAAGTCCATGACGCTTCTGCCAGGTTCTCAGGGATAGAGAGCTAGAAACATCGATGAGAGAGAAACATCGATTAGTTGCCTCCTGCACACCCCGCACTGGGGATGTGCCCGCAACCAAGGTACATGCCCTTGACCGGAATCGAACCTGGGACCCTTCAGTCTGCAGGCCGACGCTCTATCTACTGAGCCAAACTGGTCAGGGCACAGGGGTTATATTTTGATGGCCTCAGCGTCTATGGTTTGCAAGAGACTAAGAACCCAACATGAATGATCTTCAACAGTAAAACGGGTGTTACACAATTCACTGAGCACTTATTATGTGCATCTTCTCAATTCACACTCATAACAACTTTGAGTGATGGGCAGCATTACCCCACTTTGCAGAGAGTTCAGAAAGTGTCAGTAACTGGCCCATGTAGCAGCCCCCCCTCCCACCGCCCCCCGAGTGGGTACCATTCCTACTTTTCTCCAGCTGAGAGGGGGACTGTGCATTCTCCATGCAGGTGCCAGTCAGGGTGAGAAGGACACCAAACCAGACAAGCCTGCCTTCAACCAGATCTGGAACTGTCTCACCTCCCTGCTTTCGCTTAAGCTGATCCTGTGGCTGGAATGTCCTTCACATCTACCTTTCATCCAGCAATTTCTAGTGCCAGGTACCTTTCTAAACACTTGATGTGTTATCCTCATGCACGCTCCCTGGCAACCCAGGGAAGAGCTGAGGCACAGAGAAGTGGAGTACCACCCCCGCCCCCAGGCACCACAGCTAGTAGGTGGTGATAGAGCTAGGATTCAAATCCATGCCATTCAAGTGATTCCAGAGCCTACACTCTAAATCAGGGGTCCTCAAACTACGGCCCGCGGGCCACATGCAAATACAAATATTGTATTTATTCCCGTTTTGTTTTTTTTACTTCAAAATAAGATATGTGCAGTGTGCATAGGAATTTGTTCATAGTTGTTTTTGTTTGTTTTTTAACTATAGTCCGGTCCTCCAATGGTCTGAGGGACAGTGAACTGGCCCCCTGTTCAAAAAGTTTGAGGACCCCTGCTCTAAACCATCACCCCCTTCTTCCCTCTCCCTCTCTAGGACCAAGCCAATTACCAGCCTGAATGCCCCTTGTCCAGGGAGCCTTTCCTGATACTCTCAAACTTAGCCTCTCCTTAAGCATTCGGGATGCTTATGATAAGACAGTCACCTTCCTTGGTTACCACTAAGTACTTGGCCGGCCACTATGTACTGGTTTACCCCCCACCTTGCCCTCCATCAGCCATTATCTCTGAGTGTCCCCACAACCTCCCAGCAACTACTTTACAGAAGAGAAGGCCGAGGGTCAGAGAGGTTAAGCAACGTGCCGGAGACCACATAGCTAGGGACTGGCCAGATGAGACCTGAACCCAGGCCAATCTGTGCCCAAGCCCTAATGTTGACAAAGATGCTGACAAATACCTGGAATTTAACCCAGGGGCCTCTGCCGACCTCTCCCTGGCCCCAGAGGATATTCGGTGCTGAACATGGGCACAAGGGGACAGAGGGCTTTAAACAGGAGAGCGGGGCTGGCAGTCATGTCTGGATCGAAGTCATTATCATCGTCCTCTGAAGGCTCCGTGTCCACATCTGTAAGCAGGTGTTTGTGGCAAAGCGGCCCAGGGTTCTAGGCTCAGGTGACCTGACTTTGATTTTCACCTGCTGTACCTTGGACAAGCTGTTCAATAACCACTAGAGGTGGGGTCAGGGTGAGATGAGACAGTGTGGAACTTCGGGGCAGTGCGCACACCCTGTCAGCACGATCCCGGAAGGCTCCTGGTGACCTTTACTTTTGCTGAACGGAGGCAGCCAGCGGTGGGGTAGAGAGCGCACCCTAGAGCCAGCCTGTCGGCATTTGAACCCTACTTCAGCCACTTCCTAGACAAGTCACTGTGCCTCAGTTTTCTCATCTGTAAAAAGGGAATAATAATCAGACCTACCTTGCAGGATTGGTTTGAGGTTTAAGTAAGTTGTTATACATGCAAAGTGCTTAGAAGAGTGTCTGACACAGCACCAGATTCGTCGTTTTACTGTTGTCTGTATTATTATCACTCGAGGGTTCCGAGGGTTCCGACCGCCAGACGGCCAAGTACTGTGGGTTTTGCAGACTCATCCTTGTCCCACAGGTCCGGCCACCACTCCCCCTCGTCCCCGCCCCGGACCCCGCAGGCCTGAGTCACCGCGGGCAATGAGTCA